AGTATTGGAAGTACGTGGGTCGGGGGTTCCTGGGTCATATACTCCATCAACTACTAACACCCCTTTGGTAAATTGGTCCTAAACAATAACCTTTTTATGCGGTTTAGCAATGTACAATGTACAATGTACTTCACTCGGAGGTCGGTTTAAGAAGGGATCCCACCTGTGGGTGGCATGCTAGTATGCTACCTTCGGCTTGAGAAAATGTGTGATCTTTTAAATGTCATTTACGTACTCTTATTACACAAACATATATCTAGTAGTAAAAAATGATCATGTTTAATTTGCAATTTTTCATTCCAAGTGTACTTTTCTCAAACCCTTATAATGTATATAGACTTTTAATTCAAAGTGTGCTGCCTTAAATTAAAGATGATTTGTGAAAACGTCGTTAGCACTGGATGGGTTTAAAGTGTAATTGGGGATGTGATTGGTTCCCATCTATTAAGTGTTGCATAACAGAAAGGAAATTAGTGTGCGGTGAGAATTTAAGCTGAAATTAGGCCATAAGGGGTTAGCATGGCCCGTTAGTTGTCGCAAGCCACTACAAATTTTGTTTGCTAAAGAAGGCATTAATTAATTAGTCTTCAAGAAAGTGGTAAATCATTATTGTGCATTTGTGCTCCATTTGAAAGTGTTTTCATCATTATATTGCTCATTTGCTCAAAGTTATTTTATGATGAGTATTGAAATTAATTGCCATCATATTTTCTCCGACTTATACCAAGAGAATGTTTTATGATGAATGTTGTTTTTTAACAAGACAAGTGATAGAGGTATCCAAGTTTTTGATGGAATCTAAATCATACATTATAGCATCTCCAATACAAAAACGTGAAAGATGCATATGTGGCACGATAAACAGCCAATTAAAAAACAACAAATAAAATATCTATCTCCTTACTTGAACAGTCTTATATGTTTTTGGTATGTTTTTCTCCACAATGTCAAACACAATATCTAGATGTAGACATTGTGATTGACATTGTTGAAAAAAACTTATCAAAACAACAGTGTAATGATGAACTGAAACCTAAACTAACGAACAAGGCCTTATACTAAATACTCCGTACATAATTCAAAATACCCTAATCTGGTATTATATAAAATACTCTATCTGGGGTGTGTGAGAAGGGATTAGGAAATAAATAACTAATTCTAATTATTCTATGAAGAACATTGGGCATATTCATATAATACATCATTATTCTTTTAACAATGTCAATATTGAAATGTTGCATGACTAGTACTTACTTTTTTTATTCATCTTCACCTATGTTATATTTTACATTTACCTGAAGAAAAAAAATAAAAACATACTCCCAGCATCATAACTATTTCAAATCATCGTGAGAATGTTGTGATAAATATTTTGGTTCCCAACATCACATTACAAACTATTATTTAAAATAAAGGGATATATAATTTAAATACCTCAAATTTTAATGGGGTGTGAAGCAAACATCCAAAATTTGCATATGTAATATATATACTCTGAACTTTATATAAAAAGTTATTTTCACACAATGATTCTATGTTTTTTACAAATACAAATTTGTTGAAATAATTACATATAATTTAAAATATTCTACACTTTGTTGGAATGCAGTTAACATTCTAAATATTCATTTGTGAAATAAATGACATTACATCCAGTAAAGTTTAATTTGGTTGCATTTTCATAAATGTTTTGTATATTTTAAATTATGTACTTAACACCGTAAAATTACATTTGCAAAAAATATATATTCATGGGGCTAACAGAACTTTTATATAAAGTTTGACCTACACACACACACACACACACACACACACACACACACACACACACACACACATATATATATATATATATATATATATATTACACATGCAAGTTTTGGGTAATCATCTCAATTCTCACACTCTTTAATTAAATGTTTGAGATATTTCAATTATATTCTCCTAAAATATATACTGTCTTCCTATTTAAATTTTGAACGGAACTCCAACTCTCCAACTCTTAATATGTACTTTTATTCTATCTCACAAAACTTTGGCTACAAAAGGATGACATAATCTCATCTCTGAACACTTTCCAGAACCGACCAGGTAGTTACGTGAAAGAATGCTAATTGAATTTTAATCAAATTATTGGCGAAAATAAAATTTACTCAAAATCTTTGTCCAGTTTTACCATTGTTATGCATGTATCCTAGACGGCTAGCTCGACCCATAATTGTTTTGTAGAATAATGCCTTCATATCACTTCTGTCGTTGCAACTTGCAAATGATTTTGAATTGTTTACGTTTTATCTTGGATCAACAGTCAGGGAGTGAGTTGATTGATTATGGGGCATTACAGAGAACTACAAAAGATAAATGTGAGAAAATAAATTGACAAAAATAATAATAAATGGAGCAAGTTACAATTTTTTTTAAAAAAACTAGTATATTACGCGTGCATACGCACGGGAAAAAACAATTGGTGCATATATTTTAACTCATTATCTAATTAAATATTAAAACAAAAATGATTTTGATTTTTAGGATTCTACATTTGATGAAAAATAAAATTACAATAACCTATTACCATAAAATATAAGTTCATACAATAAATACTCAATGAAGAGTTTATTAGGAAATTTACGTGTATGTTGAAAAAAATGAATGATAAGATTGATAAACTTAAAAATAGGATCCCCCTAACACGTAATTTTAAATGAAAAAATGAGCATATAAGCATTTTTATTATATAAGGCCTTGTTTTTTTAATTTTGTAGCCAATTTTTTGAAAAAATTGACAAATATGGTTGATAAACCCAACTTTTTGTTGTAGTCGATATCCATCATTCCGTATTAAGTAAAGAAATAATCGATAACTATGAGAACACTTTTATAGTCACTTTGATATAATTTTAAACATGATTATTGTCACTAAAAGTTAATAAGCCATTCTTTAGTCAATATCCTTATTTTAGTCATATATTAGGAATTATTTCTTTAATTAATAAGGAATAGCTCGTACCATGATTGGAAAATTAACAGGTTACTTAATACTCCTTCGTTTTTTTTTTAATTTTCTACATGCAATATTGATCTCGTATAAGAGATCATAAAAGATTATGAATTTTGATATATATATATACTTGGGCCCCGCCAATTATTTTTCTCCTCAAGCCTTCATTGCTTTGGTGCGCTACACGGTTCTCTTCTTAATCTTAATTAAATAAATAGAATTAGCCAAGTGTCATTTTTATAGCAAAAGAGTGAATTGTGGAGAAATAGATACGTAAAATTCATTAAGTGTAGAATTGTCTTTCAATGACCTATTTCTTTTCTTATATATAAATAGACAAATTGACAAATTAAATAAATACGGAGTATGTGAGAAAGCAATCGCGCCTAAATTTATTTTGGAAATTTAAAATAAGTACCTTTTAGTCTTTTAAATCAGCACGAATTGAACCTTTAAGCATAAATTAGAAAATGTTGCCGAAAAGTTGACTGGCCCGGCAAATCATGCCAACGTTTTTCAAAACAAAAATAAAAACAAATTTAAAATTAAAAACACATAAATAGATTTTTAGTTTGATTTAATATAAAATTCATAACTAATTTTACAAGTACAACATCTAAAATAGATTTTAAGTTTGATTTAATATAAAATTCATAACTAATTTTATCGGATGTCCCTTCGGGGACATCCGATAAAATTGGAACGATATAGAGAAGATTAGCATGACCCTCGTCAAGGATGACACGCACAAGTACAACCATCTAAAATTTAAAATGAAATTTTGAATAATATAATGAAATAAGGAAAGATAAGAAAACGCTAAACCCAGAAAGCGTGTTTTAGTTAGGATTTGCTAATTTAACTGTGCTTTTGATAAGAATTGATTATTTCTCAATCTAAAATGCTAAACATAATCCTAGTTTTTGTTTTTTGTTAACAAAATAGAACTATCATGATTTTTATTCCTTGAATAGAAGTAAATTTTTGCCAAATTTGGCTATACTAGGCTCTAACACATGGTATTTTTTCCAAACCTGCCAGATTACTCCTATTCAGGGAATCAAAAACATGATACTCTCATTTTGGAATTTCAAAGCGTTTTTACTCCTATTTAGGACAATTTCTGTAAAACTTTCTCATCTTTCCATATTGCATTATTGTCCAAAAAAACTTTGTCCCTTTCTCATATCATCAATTGTTTTGTGATTCTATTTTTTCTCTCTCCTATGTACAAACCTTAACACATAGTTTTTACGCCGGTCAAACATGACAAAGTGGTCTGGTTCAATCGGACTAGATCACACACTCAATATCTTCCATATGTGGGAGGTCTTAGCTAGGATAAATGTATCAACAAGGTGAATTTGAGAGAATTTTCTCAAATAATGATCCTCTAACCCCTTAGGGCTAGTTTGGGTGATTGCTTAATCAATGCTTAATCCCATCTCAAGTTCCACTGTGGGATTTAGATCCTTGCTAAGAACCCAACAGCGTTTGACCAATTGGTGACGGTTCAAATCAAGAACTATGTTGGAATACTTGAAACACTTGAAGTCATTAACTTTGTTGTTGTTCAAAAAGGTGGAATCTCCTAACCTAAGAGCCCTCACTCCTCGACTCGACAAGATTTTTGGGAGGATGTAAGTTACGGTGACTCAGTCAGCCCAATGATGGTAGGCTTTTTACCCGTGTGCACCAGAGGTCTAGTCCAGCACGCAGAAACTGTAACCTCCACACGACCGCTGCTTGTTTCGAACTTTGATCATTGTTCTAAATTTCTCACCACTGAACCAACTGATGAGCTACCTATGCGGGTACGTGAAGTCATTAAGTTAAGAGTTATGAGCGATATTGTATAGCCAGGAGGGTAACAAGATTGTTGTTGTGCTTCTCTAAGGGTATGTTTGGGAGTTGAGTATTTTATGATCCTCCGTTTCAAGTTCGGGAGTTAAAAAATATGGAGGTGATGGTTTTGGAGGGCTTTTGTAACCCTCCAAACCCCTTCAAATGCTCAATTTTCAATCTCCCAAATTGCGGATTTTGAAGTATAATTAATTAAATGACAATTTTAGCTCCATTTTAAATAAATATAAACTCAATTATTTGAATTTGTCATATATGTGAAGTGATTTTAACTACTATTCATTCAAAACATTTCTTTTCAAACTTGATACTCCCAAACAAGAAGGGTTTCAACCCTTTCCATCTCCTTCCCTTCCAATGACTTAATTCCAAAACTTTCCGCTGCCATTCCTTTCAAACTCCCAAACATTTAAGGTAAGTGAGCAAGAATGGGTTTGGGTGTTGAAAGCCAGATTGGATTTGGGTTACTCCAATCTTGACCCTTTCAGTCAGTCATCTCTAGATTCTAGGTAGTGGCAAATCTCAAATTTGCCACATTGTATAAAGTGGTTCCATTCCATTATGCATTATCGATCATAGCCATCGATGAGGTTGGAATTGCAGTCACATCAGGTCTGTCGTTGCAACTTGCAAATGAGTTTCAATTCATTATTGTTCCAGATTTTACCTGACCAAACTGATCGACTTGATTGATTTATGGAGTATTACCCAGAATTGGAGAAAAGAAATTAATGGGAGAATGAAAGCAACAGGCAAGTTCCTTACCCTGCCCAGAATTTGTCTTTTCATGTTTTTTGAAAAAGTTACATTTACCTACTTCCAATCATAATTGGGGGTGGGGGTTGAAAACAAACAAACATAAACTTTAGGGCAAACATTGAAAAACCTAAACCCATTCTTCACTTCTTATTTCATTTCAAGGCTCCAGTTGGGCTGCTTTGGTCTCTCCTCCCTTGGTCAGCCCGATATCTCCTTCGGCCTGTTTCGTTGCGAGTATCTTCTGGGTTGATTTGTAGAACATCGCGTATAATATCAATTGGGCCAGCCCCAGTATTCCTCCCATTCCGTTTGGTGCCTGAAAGCTCAAATCGCATTATATCTTGTTCAATTTTATTCTTTTCGAATTATATCTACAATAAAACCGATTGGTCTTGTTCAGAAAATAAAGGGACTGAATTGAAATTACCAGAATATAAGGGTCAATCCGAATGAAGGAATAAGTAGTCCAGCAAATAGCATTGGCAAAGGAAAAGAGAGAGAGGAAAAATGGCATGTACTCCACGCTCTTTGTGGTGATCACCAGTTTCTGAAAGAAAAAACACACAATCAAAACGTACACATGTATTCATCCCCACTGCACCTACTACCTACCTCCCAATCCTACTTAATTAATACATATACCTCATGTTTATCACTTTATCCAACAAAAATAGAAACAAATTCAAGTACCCGTCATGTCTCTGCGTGTATATCCATACACTCGGTATTTTTATATATATGAAAATGTATGTATATGTTTTCTCATTCTTTTATAACTTTGTTAAAATTGATCGATACATATTAATAAAAAATTGTATAGTTAAAATTTGTGTAAAAAAGACATAATTTAACATACTAGTACATCCCCCGTTCTCCGATACTTGTCCCTATATGGTTTAACACAAGTTTTAAGAGAAAAATAACATGGGTAAACTCACGTCATAATATCATACTATGTATAAATATAAATAGGTAGACTTTATCATATCATAGTATTCTAAACTCATTCATAAAGAGTTCCTTTTTAATTTTATTAGTCTCATGTCATGCTAACCATTGTGTTGATCTAAAGACATTTTCACTCTAATTAGTAATAATAACTTTTTAAATAAGAAAAATATTCATTAATATTAGTCCTTCAAATCTGATGGACGAAAATATTACTTAGTAACTATAAGTGACTATAATTTTGTTCAAATTTACATAAATAAACTCACTAATAATTACTAAGAGTAATATTTTTTTCCATAATTTTTTATTAGTAATATTTAAGTAAGAAACCCTTTAATTTATGTTATTTAGCTCTATTCTTATTAACTTTTATTTTACCAAACACGCAACATATACCACATTTATATTTAATTACGTATTGATAAAAGTAACGCAGTATAAAAATTAATATTTTGAAAACTTACATGGAATTAGTAATATTTTATATACAATGATTACATTATATATACAAAACATGGAGAATGTAATTAATAAGGTGTTTGAATAGTTTAAAATCAAAGGGCTGCAAGTAAAAAAGGTCAATATTATTCATCAGTTTATTCTAAACTTCTATAGCCACTTTTCCATTGACGTCTTAATCAAACTTAACTAAATTTCAGGGAAAGCAGAAAATAGCTTATGTTAGCATGAACAGATCACGTGCATCTTATTTTCCAGTACTTTTTAATTTGAACACACATTTTATGTATACACACGGACCTCTTCCTTATATAACACGCGTCCAAAAAACGTACGAATCTTTATATGCAGTTACACCGATATTAATATAAAATAATAATACTAATATTAATATTATATATACACACTCCGTATTAAATAATAATAATAGCAATCTAATATTTAATGCTTTTCAGTTTTGTCATGAAACTGAACAAAGAAATTTTGGTCCTAATCAACGGTTCAACACAAATTAGAAAACAGGGTTTAAACCAAAAGCAAAGATGTAAAACAATGAAAAAATGAAAAAGTAAATAGACCTCTTAGAATCCGAGGAAAAGTTTGAATCAAGAAAGTCTTATATTAAGAAATGAACTACTCCTTCTATCAGGGTCCTCCTATCATCTTTTCGGATGGAACTTAAAGTCTTAACAAGACCCTTACACTCATTTCTTAATTAGTATTTACAAAATACTTATAATCAAGGTAGTAATGGTTATTTAATTAAAACAGTAGGATTTGTTGAAGTTTTAGGAAAAAAAATGTATAAAAGAATGGATCTCAAGTCTTATTGAAGGTTTTGTTTGTATGGTTAGTTAGTAGTCAAAAAATAGAAGGAGTTAGTAGTCACTTTTGCCTGATTGAAGGTTTTGTTTGTATGGTGGAATATAATTAACTCATTTGCTTTTGATCAAACACAATCCTTAACAAATTGATGTTCCATCCAAAAGTTGGTACCAAGAATCAAAATCCGTATTAACGTAAAACCCAATCATAAACAGCTTGTTTTGGTTTTTATGGATAATGACCTTGTTTTCTCAATTATTATAACTTCAATCCAATACTTTTCCTAATTATAGTTATTCTGCAGAAAAGCGTGATAAGAAAAATAAATCTATTAATAGCAAAAGTGGAGTACTATTTTTTGAACGTTTTCATAGTCGGCGGGCCATTTAGTATCAGTCAATTATGGACACACACAAAATAGTAACAGTAAATAAAAAAACTAAAGAAATGTTATAAGCATTTTCACGGTGGTAAATTACGTAGTACTTCCTACTACGTAATAGGGAAAATTCCTGAAATAGGAGTAAAAAAATTTGAAAATTTCAAAATAGGAGTGTCATGTTTTTATTCCCAAAATAGGAGTAATTATTGCAAAATTTGGAAAATACTGTCATGTTTAAAGTTTGATACATACTGCCAAAATATGACAGTAATTAGTCATATTTTGGGAATAAAAATTTGATAATCCTATTTTGAAATATATGAACGTTTTTAGTCCTATTTTGGGTAATTTCTCTTCTAAATATAGAATACAAGGTATTTCTTTAGTTATTCATTTTTTACTTTTGTAATTGAATATGACAGCTTTTAATGATTTGAAAACGATAGAGAGTATGAAAATGAAAATGTTGTTACGAATGAGCTTGGAAAAGTTAAAATTGACTAACAAGTGTAATTATACCGTAGTACTCCTTAATTGTTTATTAGTTCATATTTTACCAATTTTAAAAGACGAAAAAATAAAATAAGGCAAGAGGGCAACGTACGTACCATGACAGCTAATGGAGAGGCGTACATCATGATATTTCCAGCCATGCAAATGCTACCAACAATGGCGGACCGGAGCTTCCAGTTAGGGGCGAGAGTGAGGACAAGTACGGCGAGTACGGCGACGAAGATGATCTCGGCGAGGATGATGAGGAATAGGCGGAGGCGTTTCTTGGAGTCGGAGAAGATGAGGAAGAGGAGGAGGTAGACGATCTCGATGGCGAGGCCGATGCCGTTGGTGGTCACCACCAGCTGGCTGTGTGGGTGCACCATCGGAAGCCCGTAGAGCACCCACAGAGCGCAGTTTATGAACGTCGCCAAGTATGGCACCGCCGAGAACTGCTCCACCGATTTCTTCTTGCATATCGTCACAAATGTTGGCCTGAATTGCACATATTTTTTCTATATTGTTATTATTCAGTTTATTTATTTTGTATTTATCTGTTAATTTGTTAATTTATTGTTTGTTAACTTAACTTCTTTCCCGATTATCAGCCAATTTTGATTTCAGGAGGTGAATGGTGTGATAATCACAACAAATAAAATTGGAGTTTGCTTTTTTTTTTTGTCTAAATTTAGGATAAAAAGTATTTCAGTCTTTCATATAATTTTTTTACTTATTTTATTTAAAAAATGTATTGAAATCTAAATTTTCATATTCTAGCAGATTATATATATGCACATAATTGTTTGAAATAAAATTTTAAAAACTTTTAAAAATTAAATCTATTCAATCAGTTCCAAGGTTGCCAGACTTTAATTTATTCTGGACTTTTTTCAAAATAATGAAAAATTAAGGGAAATTACTATCGAGTTTGAAAAATATTGTTTTATTTAAAGTCTGGTACTGCCAAAATATTACAATAATTACTCATATTTCGACAATAAAAACATGACAGCCCGAAATTTTCACATTATTTTTACTCTTATTAAGAAAATTTTTCCAAAAAAATAAGTTAAACTTAATGAAATTATTCTTGGAATGATAATTTTTAGCAGCATCAAACTAGTTAAATGATTTCAAAATGTTGTACGGCGTATATTTCAAATAAAATTATAAAACAGAGTAAATTGTAAAAGTAAAACTTAAACATTAATTAAAAATGATGAGAAACATGTCATTTTCGATCTTCTAAGAAATGCATGGTAACGTTAAAACGTTAGTACCATTTGCGTGAGACGGTCTCACATCTAACCCGTGACCACATTTCACTTCAGACGTTATTATTTGACCAAAAGTCTTCTCTTTTCAAAATGTTCTTTTTCATAAATCATTATTTAATCTATCATTTTTAGTCATTTTCCACCGAAAATAAAAGTGACATATCAAATTGAAGCTCAATTTTTTTTTTCACGTGTTGGTTCTCATTTTGACACTAACAGTCATGTCAGTTGCCAGTCGATGGCTATATTTTATATATATTTATAAACATTTATATAAATAAATATATATTTTATAAATAGTTATAAATTAAAAAGAGAATATAATCTTTGTGTAGATTGAGATACTTAGCCGGCCGGCGGGGTAAGCTGGCCAGCTTTTAGGTAGAGAGAAAGTGAAGCTCACATGGGTGATAAGAACAAGATGAACGAAATCACGTTACCTGAAAATGAATAGAACCAATAATTAATAATTCATATAATTTGTTTCTTCTATATAACATATAGTAAAAAAAAACTATATACATTCGAAAATAATTTAATTAACCTCTGGGGAAATGACATAACTTACCGATGACACCGACAACCGTACGGAGAGCGTCTCTAGATAACATGATTGATGATCGGCTAATTTCCGGTGTTTTGATAATATATATTTTTCAAAAGAAAAAATAATAAAATAAGTATTTGATAATTAATTTAATAAAATATATAGATATGAAATAATGAGATTGAGAGATCAAAGGGAGAGCAGAAGAGGATAGGATGAGAAGTGAGATTGAGAGCTCTCTGTGGGATGGTATATATAGAGAGACAATGGAGTGTATGTGGGACCACTTGAGGTTTTATTTTAGTATATATTTTTAAGAAAATATTATATTATTATTATATCTCCATAATTTCATACTCCACTAAAATGATAAATTAAAAAAAATGGTGTGTATTGCTTCAATGGAGGCGTAATCTATCCATTGAATGCTTTCGTAAGATGTGTTGTGGATCGATATATATCCAAAACTTTTAAAATGAACTTTTCATTTAATTTTCCAGATTGTGTAGGTTTTGCATTATTAGTTGAACTTAGCTTTGATCTACGTGGAATTGACCTTGAATTTATTACTCTTCTTAACTACATTTCTGGATTACGCTACTACTTCAAAAAGGTCAAATATATCAACTATGGATTAAGCTATATTTACTTCAATTACTTGACTGATCATTATTACTGCCTTCAACTTCATTTAATATGCAATTATAATTGGGACCGGTTTTGGTTCCCTGTGTGCGAGGCCAACTCTACAAAATATGGACCATAGTGTGATGGATATTCAAATATAATTAATCTATGTTGCATAGAAGATGTATTTTTTCAATTTTTGTTTGGTATTTTGGTTTAAAGGATCTAGTCATCTATGTTTAAATTATTATTCAAGTATAAAACATCAGTCAATTTTACTTGACACGAACATATGACGGAATTATAAATTGTAATTGTCATCAAGTCATAGTTTATGTTTTTTTATAGTAAATGACATATACTAAAATATCAGGATTCAGTCACTAGTTTGTAGATAAAGTTAAGAGTAAATTAATCACCTTCAAAAAGAGTAATATGACTCGCTAATGCCAATACGGATATATACATGTAAACCAAAAGTAATGAATCTGAATTCCCCCATCATTCACCTGGGGTGCATATTTGAAAAAGACTCCTAAAAACTAATTAAAATGGAAAAACCAAAATAAATCGAACTCGCATAAAAAAACACAAAAACAGTAATAACTTAGGACACAAAAACTTGTTTCAGAAAAGGAAAATTGGTAAGAAACAGAGGCGGGCTTGTGTTACTATTTAGGTTAAGAAAAATGATAAATTAAAGAACTAGAACACAAGAATTTACGTGGTTCACACAATTGGGGTGATTATGCTAGTCCGCGGCGAACGAGAGAGAGCAGTGTATTATTATCAGTGCGTCGTCAGGATTTACAAGTACATAAGAGTCATTTAAATTGGTTTAAGAAAACCTAAACGGTAATTAAAGCCGCAAGCCCAAAAACTAAGCTCGTACTTAAATTTTCCCGCATACCCGGTCAGGTAAACCCATCTACCTGATCGGGTATTTGATCCAGAGGGTCTTTCTCCATGCTACCCGGTCTGGTAGCCAGACGGGTTTCCTTCACTGACAAGATACCCGGTCGGGTAAAATACCTTACCCAGTCGGGTATCACTTTCAGAGAGCTGCCCCGGTAAATCCATCCTCATACCCGGTCGAGTAATCCAACATACCTGGTCGGGTATTTGCTCCAGCATTCAGAACAAGGCTCCATCTTCAACAATCTCCCACTTGGAGGCTTGTTCAACAATCATCTATCGTCCAAGAACATGTATCCTCTGCAAAACCTCTTATCTCTCTCTCTCTCGTTCACGCCTTCTCATCAAGTATCTGGAAAGCCAGTTGAAGCCATGCATAGCTTCAACTTCTCCGTTGTCACCGCCTTGGTAAGCATGTCTGCTGGATTCTTCGTACCAAGGATCTTCTTCAAATTTATGGTACCATCTTCAATCAACTCTCGGATGAAATGGTATCGCATCTTGATGTGTTTCATTCTGCTGTGAAACACCGGATTCTTCGCGAGATAAATAGCACTCTGGTTGTCACAGTATAGACCGCAATCCCCCTGCTTCATGCCCAACTCCGAAAGAAAGTTCTTCAACCAAATTAACTTTGTGACCGCTTCAGCATGGGCCATATACTCTGCTTATGTGGTTGAAAGAGCCACTTTTTTGTAGTCTGGACGTCCAACTCATCGCCATACCTCCAATTGTGAACACATAACCCGTAGTGCTCTTCCCGGAATTAAAACAGCCCCCAAATCAGCATCGGCAAATCCTTCTAGGATTACACCATTCCTTCTGAAACAAAGGGCAGTTTCAGAGGTGCCTTTCAAGTAGCGTAACAACCACTTGACTTCTTCCCAATGTTCCTTCCCTGGATTTGACATGAACCTGCTAACGACTCCCACTGCATGAGCAATGTCCGACCTTGTTGACACCATCACGTACATCAAACTGCTAACGACTGATGCATAAGGAACTTTAGCCATTTCTTCTTTGTCTTCATTGGTCTTTGGAGACTGCTGCTCTGAGAGTTTCAACCGATTCCCTAACGGTGTACTCCTTGGTTTGGCATCCGTCATTCTGAACTTCTCAATGACTTTCTGAATGTACTTCTGCTGTGAAAGCTTTAAAGTGCCTTCCACCTTGTCTGTGACTATGCTCATCCCAAGAATGTGTCTCGCCTACCCTAAATCCTTCATCTCAAATTCTTCGGACAACTTTTTCTTAAGCTTGTTGATCTCTTGCATGTCTGATCTAGCCACCAACATGTCATCAACATACAAAAGAAGAATAATGTATGATGATTTGAATTTCTTCAAGTAACAGCAATGGTCCATCTTGCATCTAGTGTACCCATTCCGCTGTATAAAACTGTCAAACTTCAAGTACCACTGTCTAGGAGCTTGCTTCAGTCCGTATAGATTTTTCTTGAGTTTGCACACCAAGTTCTCCTTACCACTCACTGGGAAACCTACTGGTTCAGCCATGTAAATGTCTTCTTCAAGGTTGCCATGAAGAAAGGCAGTCTTCACATCCAGCTGCTCCAAATGAAAATTTTCAGCAGCAACGATAACAAGGATCAACCTGATAGTAGTCATCTTCACAACTGGAGAGAAGATTTCATTGTAATCAACCCCCTTCTTCTGTTGGAACCCTTTGACAACTAGCCTGACCTTGTATCTTTTGCTCTCATCTGCTTCATCTTTGATTCTGAACATCCACTTGTTCTCCAAAGCTTTCTTTCCCGGTGGTAGCTTGAATATGGACCAAGTTTGGTTCTTGTCAAGTGAATCTAACTCATCCTCCATGGCCTTATTCCACTATATGGAATCTTTCACAATCAGCGCTTCTGAGTAAGATTCTGGCTCTCCATTCTCGGTCAGCAACAGGTGATTTGCTGAAGGAGAATATCTTTTAGGAGGTCTTCTGTTTCCAGCGGACTATCTAATGTGTGGAGTAGCTACCTCTGAACTCCCACTATCTTCATCACTCCCACTATCTTCAGAAGTTCATGTATCTCCTGAGCTTCCACTGCTCCCTGAGCCTCCAACCGTCTCATCACAACCAACAGGTTGTGCTATGTCATCTTCAGTCATCCCGTCAAACACCCCTTGCTGTTTGTTTTCTGGTTACTTACCTTTGCTTGTATCTGCTGCAAGACCATCTTTATATAGTGCATTCTCGTTGAAGGTGACATCTCTACTTCTGATAACCTTCTTGTTGTGGTTGTCCCAGAACCTGTAGCCCATGTCATCCAACCCATACCCAATAAGGATACATTTCTTTGCCTTTGCCTCAAGCTTGTCACTATCTGCATCTCTAACTTTGACATAAGAAATACAATTGTTGGGTTAATGGCCTTCCAGGACCGGCCCATCAACCCCTGAAGACCAAGAACCAAGGGACGCACGTGGACCACCATAGCCAGGCCTCAAGGTCCAAGGGCCAGGAGACGTACGTAGCCCGTCATAGCCAGGCCTCAGGGTTCAAGGGCCAGGGGACGTACGTAGCCCGATGTAGCCAGGCCTCAGGGTCCAAGGGCCAGGGGATGTACGTAGCCCAGCATAGCCAGGCCTCAGGGTCCAAGGACCAGGGGAGGGACGTCTTGTGGGCTATACTTAAAGGCCCCGGTTGCCACTAAAGAGTTGAGTCCAATTTAGGGGACGGACGTCCCCCGCGTTATGGCGGGAAACCAAAGATCTTGGCGGGAAGCGCATTTAATGCTGAAGATTTGGTAGTTGGAATCATGTCACCCACAGCCGGCCATGTCAGCCCCCCAACCACCAGGGGTACTATAAATAGTCGCATTTATTTCATTGTAAAGGGTTCGCACATCGTTACTCTAGAGTTGTAATAGCATCAGCAGTACGTAGTATATTTTCTGTACGTTCGGCCTTTCGGCTTGTAATCATAATAGTGAAGAAAGCAGTTATTATTAAATCCACCCCTCGTTGACTTAATGAGTTCATTTGCCTTCTACCCATTCGAAACCCCCAGGTTACGTGTTGGGCCTGTGGGTTGAGGGGAATAAACCTCAACACTGGCGTTGTATGTGGGAAACTGATCAAAAAGCTCTTTTTTCAAGCTCTCCATTTAAAATTTCTAAGACAACCAAAAAGCAAACAAAATCAACACTAACAACGTGGGCAATTCTCAAGACCTATCATCACGACTGGCTCACAGCAGGAGGAGCCGTAACCAGGCGGCAGGGGCCCAATCAACTAGTCTATGGAGCCGAGAGGACTTCGGGATGCTCACCGACCTGATTCCACAGGAACTCCGCAGGGACCCCCACGCACTGCGAGATATCACGGATACTAACCGCCGACTGGCGGATCAGTGGGAGGAAGAGCATGTGTACACCGCCAATACTGAGCGCACCTCGCTCTTACCCGTCCGTCCCATGCAGTCTTTCACCGAACACACTGGCGAGAATAGCAATCACTGTCGCTCGGTCCATTCCAGAATAACCCAGAACACCCGCCCTCCAGGTATGGGGGCGCCACGGGAGCTAGGCCCTTCAGAGGAGCACAGCACCATACATTTCAGGACCCCACGCCGGTCATGCCCCGCGATGGAGGAGCGGCTAGGGAACATACCCCCGTAGTGGGTAGCATGGCGGCGGAGACCCGAGGGTACCTTGGCCAACACAATCATG